AATTTTTATCTAAGGAAATTTATTATGTGAAGAATCTCAATATATTATGTCTTCATTACTATTCCTATACGTGAATTAATTATTTCCTAAACTATTTAACTAAAATCATTTATATTTAAAACGTTTTTTTAAAGTAAACAAAAGAAATTAAATTAATATTTGTGCATCTTTTTTTATTCACAAACTTCGTATTAAAGGTTTTAATCCAATTTAATTTTGAAAACATTTAATTACTTATTATTAAAAAATAGCACTCCTTTTCTTTTAAAGTTTTATAATATATATATATATATAAGTATTCATTATTTCCTGAATAATTTAAAGTTTTCAATTAATATATGTGAAATTTATAACCAAAAGGTGCATGTAAGGCTACTAAGGAATAAAATTTAAAATAAATTCAAATATATTTTAGTGGTTTTATTGTTACTCTTAAATTATTTTCATTGTTATAAAAGAGAAAATAAATTTGCAAAATATATACTTAAATATTTTTTTGAAACATAAGATATGCAAGATATCTTAAAAGATCTTATGTAACTAATATATTTTTTAACCATGAATAAAAATAATATACATTTTATGAAATAAAAAATTTGATTGATAACATTTTTTCTTTAAAAACTTATAAGAAAAAATCATTTTCAGAAACGAAAAAGGAAGGAAATAAATTTCAACTAATATTACCTCTTTTACTAACCGATTTTAGATAAAAATGATAATAAATTTAATTTTGGTAAGCATTTAATTAATTTAAACTAAATTTTAAAATATTAAAATAGCATTACTTTGAAAGATATTCTGGTCATCTCTTAAAACAGGTCTCTTAATCGGGTCTTGGAATTAAATCTTATTTTCGAATATCTAAAAGATTTAATAGGTATTATAATTTTCAATTAAGGAAATAGTTTAGGTGGAAAATCTCAGTTTTTTAATGTTTTTCATTAATATTTCTAAATTTAAATATTTCGTACATTATTAAACTTAAAACATTTAATTTACCTTATTTCAAGTAGATTAAAGATTAAATTTTATATTAAAATTGTTTACAATTACAATATTTATCATAATTTCCTTTTTTGTTAACATTTTAGCAGATTAGTTTATCATATACTTTTGCCAATAGTTAAATTTTATTCATAAGGTATTCATAAATAGATTATCCAAATTTATGAAATTGTTATATATCACTTATGTTATCTTTCAACCGATATACAATTTTTGTAAATTATATTAAATGATTGCATTTTCTTATACACCGTTGAGGTAATGTCCGTGATTGATAAATTTAACGGTTTTAGGGAAAATATAATATATACGTACTTATATTAAAACCAGACCTAATTACTATTGTATATATTATTTACTTTCTATACAGTTAAAATATACAAATCAATACGCGATTTAACTCTATAGAATTAAAATTAAAATATACAAGACTATTATGTTTATCCTATACTATTGAATATCAAATATTAATACAAATCCAGTTATATTTTTAGTTTAAAAAACATCATCCGTGCGAAAGCACGGGCCATCCTCTAGTTGGGATATTATAGTTAATAATATTCTTAGTATGGTATCATATTATAAATTAAAAACCAGTATTATTATTATGTGAAGAATGTAACGTATTCACCTGGTATATAGATTGACCACTACCAAAGATGAAATCTACGGCGCCTTGGATAGTGCATCGGTGGAAGTAGTGTCGGCCATCGGAGTCCCACAAGGTATCTTGGATTCCAGCAAACCCTACCGAGTAAAAAGCTGACTTATCGCCACCGATCAACGCCGCTACGGCCGGAGTTCTAGGGTTCTTGTTCGTTTTTCCCTTGCTAGGCAAGTTATAGGTATTCTATGTAAAAAAAAAATGAACATTTCATATATTAAATTAAAGAGAATCATATACTGAAGAAAAATACGAAAATGTGATATAATTAATAATCACCGTACGTACGGCGAAAGTGAGGCTTTTAACGACGGTGTTATCGGCGAGAGTAGCAAAGGTAGGGCTTTGTGCAGCCGAGTAATGGTCGTCCCATTCAACTCTCGTTAACCTTTTCCCAGCTCCCACAATGACTATGAACGGTTTCTCATAAGGTATCTTTATCTTCTCTCTTTATTTACAAAAGACATAGAGAAAACATTACTAAGCACTTTTTGCATAAATATATAACTTCTTCATTACAAGAAATATGTATAACATCAAATTGATTCAGACAAAGTTAAGTGTGGCTATACGTACTGACCTGTAAAGGCCGGCTTTAACGTTGATAAAGAACCAATGACGATTGTTGATTGGAACCGAGTCGATAGCTTTTTGTATTGTCGTGAAATTTCCATGGCCTGACTGATCCACGAACACTTGTTGTTGGTAGACTCCATATGGTTTAGCTTCAATGAGATGAGGTAGACAGAAACAACAAAGAGCTACGAGACCAATGATGATTCGATGAGTTCCCATTATTACACCTTCTGATTTTTTAATTAGATGGTGATGAGAATGAAACGTAAGGTTAATTGAAGAGAGGGAAGGCAAATGAGAGTAGTGGAGGAAATGGATTATTTAACAAGGTCGTGAAATTAATGCTTTTTTTTGTCAATTGATTTTCTTACTTTATTTAATTATTTTCTTTTGATTATGTTTGCGTAATTAAAGTAGAATCTTAATCAAACTGGAAAGTTTAGGTTTGTTTCTACATTTTGGTGATTAAAATCTTGGGTTTGACGTTTTGTGTGAGAGGTCAGAAACGAAAAAGGAAATTGTAATATTTGTGATTGTGGTAAGTGGGTAACTGTAAATGTTAGTGGCCTAGACCTTTATTTTGGTTTGGAAATTATTGCAAAGATTAAGGCCCTCAATGTTTTGTAGCTTTAAATTTTTGGTTTTTTTTTTTTTGGAGTAGATTTTTGGTTTTGCAAAATTAAAAAAGAAAAATCACGTAATATTTGTTAGAAGCCCGTAAAATTTGGTTTTAGGATTCATGAAAGAATTAGTAAAAAAATCTCCTAAAATCTGATTTTCCTAAATTTTAGGTAATCTACTTTTGCTAAAATCATGAATGTCTAATTTTGTTGATTACTAAGACTATTCTAAAAATCTGCTGTCATTTAAACTTTAAAGCCTAAAAAAATAATCCGAGTAATTAATCTTTTCGTCTTGAATGGAAACAAGTTTTTCATCTTCTATAATAATTCTCAATGCTTTGTATGAAACAGTTGTGTTAGGAGTTAGGACTTTGCTATAAAATTAAAAAAATTCTGATTTTTTTTTAAAAGTATTCAAATAATACTCAACACTTTTACAAGTTTTTTTTTGTTCTTTTTTTGTTCTTTTTTGATAAAGAAGTTCTTTTGCTTCAATGTATCAAACCTTCTCTGTACAACCTTGATGGTTAATATATAAGCTACTTGTATCATCTTTATAAAGTTTAATAAAGTTCATATATAGGTGTTTAAAGAAGAACTTTGAAACCTATCATTTAGTCAAATCTAAACCTTAACATTGTGCCTTTTAACCTAAAATATGTAGACATATCTATGTTATTTATAGCTATATAATAGAGACGAACAATGTATTATTTTCTATATACCTCTATGATTTTGCCATTTACAACAAAACTACTTATAGTTCAACCCACACAGAAGGGAACAAACCAAAATATTTTTTTGACAATTGCTCCTTCTTAAAATAGGAGAGGAACAAGTTCAACACACACTAGAGATGAATAACACCACTATTCATATTCATTTTACTTCACTATATTGGTTTCTTTTGAGTAACAAAACAATCATTGACATCCTTAAAAAGAGAAAATGTTATTTCACAAAAAGTAAAACAGATTTCTATTTTGCAAACTACTTTTCCAATAAGAGTTGAAGAAAATATCAAACGTACGTCAACACCATTATTTTGAAGATCGATTCAATCTAGGATATTGGGAAATAAAAGAGATGTTTGGTGAGGCACATGTTTATTTTTGTTTTCTTTTTGACATCTAGTGAAAGGCACGGTTTCAGTTTCAACTATCGAGAGTGTAAAGCAAAACACACATGCTCAAACTTTTTAGCCCAAAAAGAAATCGATTAGGATCAGTAATCAAAATGTGGTCCTATAGGCTATTGTATATGATCAGTCTTGACATATTTTGCTCATACCTTTTGTAAACAAAGACTGTGAAGTGATCCCAAATTCTTATTAAAGTGGTGCTCTTATCCTGAAAAAGAAAAAAGAATTCTACGTACAAATCAATATTGTGTTCTAAAGTAAAACTCTAAACCCTTGCAAAAGTACACAATGAATATTTTGAGAAACATAGCAAAATCCGAACTCATTTGCATTTATTTGTTTTCTACTTGGAACATATATTATAGCTACTTCTCATGATGAGTCCCATCTCTCTTTCTGCTTACTTGAGATGAATAGAAACTATAGAGGGATTCAACTCTGGCCTTGGACTCTGTCAAGATCTTTGGAAACCTAGTTAGTTGGTGTGAGAGAGAAACACCTTAGCCATTGTTTTGGATTTTATTGTGTTTGTGTCGGATGACCTTGGATTAGAGCTAGAGCTAGTGAATAAAGAAGATGCAGACAAGAGTTATGCTGAGAGAGAGAGAGATTAAAGACAATCATTCTGAGTTTCCTAAATAATTTTTTTTTTCTGACACATATGTAAATAGTACTTTAGTCAAATCGCTTTTGAAAAAGTGTAAAAGCGTCACTTTGTTTAACCGAATTGTCAATTTTTGAATATTAAAATTTGGTTATATATTTGCCAATTTCTTATAAACTAATCTCAAGAAAATGATAGCTCCTCCGGACATGCATGCATGCATTATTAACAAAGATATTTCAAGTAAAATAATTAAGTGGTTTAGAATTCTAAACCGCTTTTTCAAAACCTACAAAGTAGAAATCACAATAACATATACGAATTCAAACAATACAAAGCTAAACAATCTTCAAAAAAAAAAAAAAATGAAAATTGCATGAAAAAAAAAAGACCCCAAAGAGAAAGAAATTAAGAAGCACTTCCTTCAAATAACTCTTCAAATGCTTGGAGAATAAAAACCAATATGTAGAGATTATTATGGTAATCTTCATCAGTGGTTCGACACAATCCGTATTTTGTATCGTGTGATGATTTTTAAGCAAACACATTCCCCAGGTTAGAGCTTCCAGATCTGAATTAACATTGTTTCCAACCTTTTATCACTTTAAAATGTCACAATATAATTATAAATAATTTTCACAATATAACAAAACCATAAAGTAACCATATAACATCAAAAAGGTAAAAGAACAAACAAAAGGCAAAAGACATCTAAAATTATTTTAACATGGAACCAGTCAGTAATATATAATTCCAGTTATTTTTTTTTCTTACTCTGGGGATTATAAAATTTATACCAGTCATATATACTTACAACTACATGATGACCCAAAAAAAAAAAAGCTCACACCTATACATATAAAGAGTAATGATGCCTTCATGATTAGATAGACCATATCGAACACAAAAAGAAATGATCATGATATATAAAGGCTAAAAGAAAAACAAATAGAACACAAAAGACATCTGAAAACTTTTGTTTTTTACTCGAAATAATATTAAATAGGAGAGATAATAAAAATAAATAAAAACAAACCTTACATGTTGGTATTTGCATGAATGAAACTAAATATTTGTTGGATAGAACTTGCAATGTCTTCTGCCGTAAACCTCGTTTCACTTGTAATCTGCACATATTTAACATATTAGCCTTTGGTAATACTACATATACTTGACAATAATACTAATTCATAATATATGCTTATATTATTCTTTTTAAACCTAAATTATAATTGTGTTATAGAAGTGAAACTTGCCTTGACATTAAAGGAGTAGAGAACGGTTTGTTCCATGGTAGTGATGTTAGTGTGAAGAATAGAGAGATGAAGATCCTCCAAAGCAGCTATAGTCTTAATCAATTGTCCTGGCCTTCTTCTTGAAAGTATCTTGATCATGGCGTCAAACCCTAGAAGCTTCACCTCCACGTCAGCCAAGCACGACTTGTTCTCCGCCGTCTCCTCCCGAAGCCCTCCTCCGCCCTCTAGCTCGGTTACATTTCCATTAATAATGAGCGGTTGGGCTTGGTTAGCTACTGCAGCTATAGGGGAAGAAGAAGTCGTTGTCGTGGTCATGTCCCGACCAGTTTCTCCCAAGATTCTTCGACGCTTCTGTGATTCCAGACACTGTAGGAGTTGCTCCAGCTCTCTCACAAACTCTATTGCTCCTCCTATGATCGACGCTTGGTCTCCCTATACATTTTAAACATATCTTGGTTTTATTATATAGTTGAGAGAGTATTAAATATCTATACATATATATTTCACAATTTGTTTTTCTTTTTTTATGATATACTTTATTAATATTATACCCTTTGAACGTAGGAGCCAGGCATGAGAGATCTAAGGACACGAAGGTGCTCGTTCATTTGTTTCCTACGGTTTCTTTCAACGGCGATATGAGTCATCCTTTGGCTTTCTACTTCTTCGCTGGTCTTACTTGTTCTAGCTCTCTTCCTCTTGCTCTTCACCTCCTTTGTGGTAACATTCTTGTTCTCCCTATCTTCTTCTTCTCCTCCTCCAATGAAACGGAGTTGCACGGAGTTGTTGTCATTGTCGTCATCTTGATCATCTTGTTCTTCAAGAAACACGTTGCCTATGTTTCCTCCACACTCACCTCCTTCTTGAGACGTTTGATGAGAAGGCATGAGATGTTGGGTTTGGTTATGTTCCTCTATCTTGTCGTTCAAGACAGGGAACTTCAAGAAGTAAACCGGGTCAATCCCGCTTTCTTGATCTTCTTGGTTCCTTGTCTGGTTCAACGCCAGTTTTGGACCAAAGTCCGCAAACTGCATCACGTCTGCGAAGTTCATTTTGTCAAAAGAAGGTGTTGTTCCAAATCCGGTAGGAGAGAGTTGATGCTGCTGCTGTTGTGGCATCGATTGCTTTTGTTGTTGTTGAAGGTTTCTGTTGAACATATAGTCTATCATACCGGAGCTGTTATCTTCGTTACCGCCTGAGGATTCACCTAAGAAGTTTGGTGCCTGAGAGTAACCGTAATCAGAGAATCAAACTGATATTATAACTAGAACGAATTGAATCTTATACATAAAGATTTGTATAGGATAATTTTTTTAATGAACTTGAGAAATTGGAAAACGTACGTACCGAGTAATCTTTATCCATTGCTATTTCGTTCTTGATCCGAAACGTCTTAGGTCTAGTTACAAGCTTGTGTTCCTAACCTGATGCAAAAACACACGTAGAACAAGTTAACACCAAACCTAGGCAAAATTCATGTTTAATTTTACCACATGCATATACATGAATGTATATCCAAAATGATTAATTGATTAACACCAAAAGACACTAGATGTTGATTAGCATGGAGTTAAATAAAAGTGACTGACCTTTGTATGATTTGCTAGGGTTTACTAGAGATGTAAGACATGCAAGATCATATATAGAAGAAGACGGATTAGAGAAGACAAAACTTTAAAAAGTGAGTGGAGCTTTTTTTGTATTTGGATGTCATAAATGAGCAACCATCACCAAGCTCCCATATATTATATATAGAGAGAGAGGTACATGCATACAATTATGGGTACACAAGGTATAGCAAGGGGGACATTAAAGTTCTTAAATACAGTATGTATATTCTTAATAATTTTGTTCCTCTTAATTAACAGATGCGATCATATTTCAAAAAAATAAATATAAATGGATTCTAAAGTATTTACGTAAAATTAACCTTAAGTATTTAGGAATATAAATTAGTTTAATTTAGATGGATATTTCATACTACTAATTAGCTACCCGATCCCCATTATCGAGACATTATTGTATTTCGTAAGTTTTTGTTGATCTTATTATATATATTGTACTTTGTGAAAAAAAAACAAAATAAAAAATGTTATCAATTATTGTCGTTATTTATTTATTTGTTAGAGATTTATACTTTAGTAAAAAAAAAAAAAATTAAAAAAGGTTCCAATAGCAGCAGGAAAAAGCCGTGCAGTCGGAAGTTCTCAATGTCTCCCCCAAATGCTTTTGCAGAAAATTCATGATTGGCTAATCAAAAGATGCTCATCCAATCACTGCCTCGTATCTAAAAGTGAGCATTGTTTTATAGTTAGCTTATCATCTTCACATAATGTAATCTAGCTAATTATATTACAGAAACCTTTAATATACTTATTCCCTATCTTCTAAAGATGCATATGACATAACAATTTTTTTATTTTTTTCATCTTAACCTTGTTATAGCTATAAAACTATGGATAATAAAACTATTATTAGCTTAAAAAACTTATCAGTAACACTAAGCTTGTCTTGTTTGTTCAAATTCGAATTGAGGATCACCTACTTAGCTATTTGGGAGATTGACAATGAGTCAAATTTAAGATTATATTGAATATTCCGAATCATATCTTGTTTTTGTAATAAATACTCTCAGTTTCTTTATACGTAAGCGTATAGAGAGCAAGGAGGAGCCACAAAAAAGACTCAAAAAAAGAAGTAACGTGAAAACACACACGTGTATCAGCTGATCGTTCACCTCTCTATCTATCTATCTTTTTCTCTACCTCTTGCGATCACATAAATGATCTTAGATGAGTTTTTTTTTTCAGAGTTCACAAGCCAAAGCCGCTCTTTTTTCCACCGCTTTACGTGAACTTAATCAAATCTCCTCACGCTTCTACTCTACTACTTTTATTTGACAATTCAAAATTTTCAATTGATTTTGAACTCTTTTGGTCAAGTGTATATGAGTTGTTGTTTCACTAAGATGACCTATATATTGTTATTTTGTGTGTGTATGTTTGTGGAGGCATATACGTTCAAAGAAAAAGGCATGGTTGTGTTTTTGGTTATAAAACAAAAAAGTGAAGTGAAATAAGAGTTGCGGATCCATAGACACATATAAATGTTGAAAAGTTACAAAAGAAACATGAAAGAGAGTGCATCGAAGACCCAACCAAAATTTTTTACTAGCTGCGACCATTCCCAATTGGGCCAACAAGACAACAGTTATGATGCATAACAACCACAAGCATCTAAAATAGATCAGCCGATAAGATAGGTTTCAAACTTCAATAACAGATAAAGAACATATAATATCTTAAAACTTTATTAATTCAATCTTATAGTATCGTACACTAGGAACTAAATCAGAAATTTTCAATAGCAATAGTTATAAAAATTTGGATCATTTGAATATATATAAATATTATTATTAATAATTACAAAGCTGCTAAGGCTTATAAAATATGAAAAAAATATTTTTCAAATATGATGTTTTAAAAAAAAAGATATGATGTTAAATGGACAAAATATGTTTTCTTATAAATGTGGTAAATCCAATGAACACATTAGCGATTATATTTATATTCTCCAAGAATCTTTGGAAATTCTACGGAGAATCCTTGGAAACCTTTCGGAGTTTCTTTGAAATAAAACAAGCTTTGGAAAATTTTGTCAATTTTCTGAAAAAATATTAGACCAAATTAAAGGAAATTCTTTTTTTTTTTTGACTGAAGGTATTTAATTAAAGAGAGAAATATTATACAAAATCATGAAAGTAATAAGGGAGGAAACAAAGTTGAGGTTTGATTGTGAGAGCCTCTCACTGAGAGGTGTCACGGTAATCTTACGTGAGATGGGTTCGTACGTAAAGGATATCCAATTCATGCACTTTTAATTTATACATTATTTTGGGAGTTTACAAGGCTCCCTTTTAGTTTTATTGCATGTTTACGACTCGTGAATCACGAGTGTACCATACTTTTTACAAAGGGGATATTCTCTTATTAGCACTGGTACAAATGTTTTACATCAACCAATATTTTAGTGACGCTTCAAAGTTGCATGATCTAGTTAGTTTATAGTTATGTTCATTTCAAGAGTTTATGTGTCTGTGTCTGTGATGATGAATCGAGCCAGAAACGGACTAAAGTTGACATCTAGATATGCATTTTGTATACATGACACAATTGTTGTACGTTGCCAAAATCCCAATCTCAGTTTGATGATGTAGAGTTATTAATTTAACAAAAGCATCATTATCATTTTGAAGTGAAGCTAAAACTAAACTAGTAGAGTCAATAAAATATTAACCAATAAACCCTGAGGCTTTTACAAGGTTTGAGTAAAAACTAAAGCAAATCCTAGTGGAAGTCTCCACACAATGTTTTGTGCTTTTTAACTCTCGAGTCTCCTGGATTCTGACCTTCACAATTTGAAAACCAATCAAACCTATCATTCTTCTTTACCTCAGAAGAGAATAAACATAACTCTTCTTGGTTACTTCTCGGGTAAGCCCGACTAGATCCGACATCTATTCTTCTTGTAGACGGTACTGAAGATATACCAAGCCTCAAGGATAAATCACAAACCCTCTCTGTTGTTTCTTCTTGGGGTTTTATGCCAATAGGCATGCCAATGATTATGGGCGCTTCAGGGGCTCTAATAGACATGTCCACTTGCTGAGTCTGATGATTACCACCGTAATACAAAGGATAGACCGAACCCAACTTTACTGGAGCTGGTGTAGGAGCTGGACCTGTAATAGAAGCTGGAGCTGTAGAAGGAGCTGGAGCAGTGGTAGTTCCTTGTCTTATCGCCAATGGCTTTTGATGCATATGCATGGATTCGTGTAGAAATGGGTAACCGCGAGGTGCAGCTACACGCTTGTTGTTATCATCAAGTACATCTACTGGGGTCGCAGCTTGAGAGGTATGGATTGGTTTAGTGGATGGTTTTTGAGCTTGATGATGATAGTCATGATGGTACGGCGGCTCATTCGGCGATGCAGAAACCGGTTCCTGGAGTTTTGGACCGAGGTAGGTCCTTATGTTACTATGTCGTTGGCTTCTTGAAGCTCTTACAGCAATGCATCCCAGGTTAAGAGCAGCTAACCATAGATAAAAAACACATCAAACACACACCTCTTAGAGAAGTTTTCAATTCATAAATTCAGCAGCTTTTGACCAAGTTGGCTCCAATCCCGACCTCACAGTGACAAGATTACTAACTTGTAAGCAGATCCCATAACTATCAAATTGCATAAGCTTAACTAGAGCCATTGAAAAGAGCAGCTAACCATAGCAAAAGCCACATTTAACACACAGCTCTTGAAGAAGTTTAATTCATAGATACAGCAGCTTTTGAACAAGTTGGTTCAATCCCAGCCTCACCGTGACAAGATTACTAACTTCTAAGCAGTTACCATAACGATTCAAATGCATAAGCTTCACTAGAACCATTGAAACAGTTAAAAGAGGCAAAACAAAAAGGCAAAGTACCTTCAACACAAGGAGGCAAAAGAGGACCAGTTTCAGTGCTCTCATCTCTTCTAATAATAGTATCAATCGCATCATTTACTCTGTTCCACATAGTATCAGCATCTGTATACTCTTCCTAATGGAAACCAAAATCCAAAGTCAGTAAAAAAAAAGCATTTGGCTTTATAAAACTGAAAACAACCACAAAGAGGTTTCTAAATTAGTAACCTCGGAATTGGCTTTAGAGTACATGATTTCCTCAGCTTTTAACACAACCACAGGAAGCTTCTCCTGCCATTCCTTGTTCTTCCTCGTGGCTGCACTGTGTGCTTCCATGGCCAGCCTGCAGAAAAAAAAAAAAAAAAACCCAAATTAAGAAACAAAACAAGAAAGATCGAAAACTTAAGAGACTATTGCTTGAGTGAAAAAAAAACCTGAAAATCTGGCGAATAATGGAACCACGAATAGGTTGATGACGATCACTATGCCAAGCTCGTTTCACACACTCGTAAGGTCTAGGTCCAGGCCTCGGCATTTTCCTCCTTCTTCAAACTCCTAAAACCTCGACAGCGCTTAGTAGCTAAGCAGTGACACACTTAAGCAACGACTCACTCACTAATCTAACAAATCGGCCAAAATCTCCGGCGTATTTTCCGATCAGAGAGTTCCGGTGTAACGAGTACCGCTCAATGGTGTGGAAAAAACACAAAAAAAGAAACCTAAAAATCTCTCTAACCGATCCAAGAGAAACAGATCTGAAGCTTTAAAGCTCTGAATCGTTTGAAAAACTCGTCTTCCCGAGCTCATACCGGTCACATCACCATCATCGTTGTGGAATCTTCCGATCGTTGTAAAGCTAGCTCAGCCATGTCTCCATCGTCGCCGTTTCTGGAAATGGAAACGGTGTGTTGTGATGTGATTAAATGATTCGGGACAGCTTCTCTAAAACGAACCAGTTTTGTGATTTTACTGTTTTACCCCTTATGTACTAACTGTCGTTTTTTGTTATGGATTGGATTATATTATACTAAACCGGAATTGAATAAACCGGATTTTGGATTATTCATAAGAAACGACGACGTTTTGGAGTTGTGTCTACCACTTCTGATTGATTCAGAAATCTGGATTCGTCTCCTCCATTAAAAACATCTTCTCGCCTGATAACACCGATCTCTCTCTCTCTTTCTCTCTCTCGCTCCGTCGACCCTCGTTGTAAAGATGAAAGCTTTCTACGTATTCGTCGTTGCTATTCTTCTCACCTTAAATTATAGGGTTCGTTTTTTTATTATTTTTGAATACTTTTGAATCTTTCTCAACCCTTACGGAATGACTTGTGGATCTGACTTTTATGAATTGGATCGATGTTTGTGAATAGGGAGAAGCTAGTGGTTCTGTTTTCTTCATTGATGGATCCAGTAACCAATATCTTCGTCCACGATCGTCCAGTGAGGTAATGGCTTTCCCTCCCAAAAAAGTGGATGAACGATTTGGTGGTTTTATATTTCAATCTGGAGATTGTTTCTGGAAATGATACGAGTTTACTGGTTGCGTTTCCTTCGGTTTAGGTTTTGTTTAGACTACCTTTTTTTTTTTATCTCGTTTGGGTGTAGATCAGGTCAATGTAGTAAATGGAAACAGGATTTCAACGAAGTAATACAATTAGATCCATTGTTTGGTCTTAAGTAGCACCAATTTTGAAGCTTTCTTGTCTGCTTTTGTTTCTTTTGTAGTTTTGGATGAGAGATCAATGGATAGATTCCATATTTATGTTTGAATCGTACTCAAGTTTGTGACTTTATGACACGAAGTTAACCTCTTTCCTTGAATTGAAATCTACAGGCGATTTCTATGTCCCCCTTTGAAATATCTGCAGCAGTGTCTGCCTTGTTGGGTTTTGCACCTTCAGAAACTTTGACAGCTGATGGCTCATCTAAGGTTTTTGAGTTTTCTAGTAAAGTTTGCTTTTTTGTTTGTTTGTGGGTTGAGTTCTGTACTTCATCATCTATTTGTTTGTATTTTGTTATAGCTGAACAAGATCCTAAAGCCTAATCCATTTGATAGGCCTCAGGCTGCTTTTGTGCTAGAAATCGCTGGAGCTGATGGTATGGGAATAACACACTAAAAAGCAGTAGTTTTCTGTCATGAACCAAAATTTTGAAACTGTAAAACATTCAAGTGTTTGTATTTTACTTGCAGATGCGCTTGTGGAAACCAAGCCCAGTCATTCTTTCTTGAGCAATGCCGTAAGGAGCCATATAAAGTCTGACTCTGACAAAGCTACTATTGAACTTTCAGGTGCGATGATAGCTTGAATAGCAGAAGTATCTAATGAGCATGACTAGTTTCTAATCATATTCATTTTGGTTTGAGTCTTGTTTTGGATATATTCTGACAATCTTTTCATATTCTGCAGACAGTGAAGTGGTTGTTGTGTCTGTCAATGAACCCTTATCTGATGTGACTGACAAGGACATTACTGATTTTGTAAGTTAACAGCACCTGTCATTCTAAGTGCAAACACTATTGTTTTCCTTGTTACTTTTAACGTGACCACCAATTAATTTTGTGGTTATAATATCCTTAGGCATCTTGGTTGGGTGGATCATATGTTGCTGGTTCTGCTGAACCATTGTCTGGATTGTTGAGTATCTCTCTGGCTGGGGGTGCTAATGTGGAGTTCAATTTAGAAAAGGTAATACTCTTAATTCCATGAAACTGTAGGATTTGACAATGGAGAGGTTTCTGCATTGCCTGAAGATATTTTGATATCCATATGAAGAAGGCATGACTTTTGTTTCCCTGAGCAGGAAGCAGAGAGGAAATATGCATTGAACCTTTTGGGTCTATATCAGAATATCAGAAAATCTTTATCTCAGGGTATTGAGAGAACTGCTGAATTAACAGTTGGACGCTTTGGTGGTATCGATGTAAGGGCATTCTTATTTTGTTTTTCTGTTTTTTCCGGTTTTCTCACTGTCTTAGTTTTGATATATATTGGAGGGTGGAAGTTCAATGTATTCGTGAATGTATCTCCTTTAAATCTCTGGAAAACTTATGACATTTCTATTGATCCGTAATGGCTGTTGGTTGTGCACTCTTTTTCAGCTACTCCTGCTTAGCTATTTTACAAAAGAGAATTCAAAAGTGAATCATGATAAGATTTCTGGGAACTGGAAGTTTTTTGAATTCGTTGTAGTCGGTTTAACTGTCTTTATACTTGTGTATCCAAAGGATCGCAAGACTAATAAGGACATTGTAACGAGTTTATGTCTTTAGCTGTCTTCTCAATGATTTGTTCGCATATTTACGTGATCAAAAGCGTGACAGCTTGTAGGCTTTGCTGCTACTTTAAGTTCATCAAAATTGAAAATGTCTTTCTTGTTGAACCATCTTGTTACTGTAGTTGTCTTTTGTGTTTTTAGCAAAGCGTGTCAGTGGCTAATATCATTTATTCTCTTCTGGAAATTACAGGCTTTGGCACAGGAGTATGGACAAGGTATGGCTAAGCAAGGGATGGATGTATTACTTGCCACCCTATCAAAGCTATTCGATCTGTTGGAGACATCTCATAAAGGTGAATTGTCTCTATGATTTAATAAATTCGTTTTTTAAGATTTGCAGTAGAAAGTAGTTCAAGGTGGTGGACTTGTAGGATGAAAACTTTTCAACGGAAATCTTAAATTGCTAAATCCTCTTGAACATTTTTCTTTTTCTTAACTGTATTTAAGTAATCTTAGAGTTATATGGGCTCTTGCAGGCCAAATTGTCGGGGTGATCGTCCTTGATGAGAGGGTAAATCAAGTTTCAGCAAATCTTCTGAGCATTGGGTCTTCTCATTCATCTGCACGTTCAATGGCGGAAGTTGAGGGAATTCCAAGTGCAATCATTATCGCTCAAGTTTTACTTGTTAGGCTGACTCTTGCATGGTTGACTGGAATAATTCTTCTTATTGCAACTATTCTTGGGGTAAGATCACATAACTTTTATCAATGAACGACTACCAAACAGATTCTTTGGCCAATGTAGAGTTGTATCTTTCCACCTAAAGTGGCCTGCCAAAGAATTCTCGTATATTATATTCGTAACTGAACACTGAACCTATCAATTTTCTGGAAGTTGACATGCTTATCATGGATGTTGCAGGTTTACTTCCTTATGTACATGCCTTTGACGAAGGATACACTTTTATATTCAAACGTGAAACTTGATTAAGAGATGAAATAGAGCTTCAAAACGGCAACCGGACACCGATTCTGTCTCCAGGTCGTTCGTTTACATCTTTTTGTGTGTATCTAGCCGTGTTTCTCAACTGGCCGCAATTGAAACCAGTGTCATTTGAATGTTTTAAGAGAAGGATGAAACTTTTAGTGGCCAGAGCAGTTGATGTGTTGTGTATATTGCCATATTGGTTGCATTCTCTACTTATATTTATGTTCTTTGTTACATACATTTGAGTCTCGGTCCTATTAATAAAACATACTTTGGGCACTTCGTGTAATATCCTGTTTCCTGTAAGAGCTTTTTGATCATGGAATCTGAATAGATTATTGCAATGTGTCTGAGGAGCTCAGTCTCTATTATGCATCAAAATGTCAGCCCCGACAAGGTTTTGTTCAGTTTTATCCAATTTAGTTCAAATTCGTTTCTAGTTATTTCACCACCATGCGACTACAAGAAGTCGTTTACATTCGGACAAAACTAACCAAACCAATTAAGGTACTTAGATTTTTACTGGTTTGTAGTGAAATGATTTCAATTAGTTGCAATTCCTTCGTCATCTGTTAATTAAACGAAAATTAAAAGAGATTTCGAGAAAATTAAGTTCTTCTAGCAATAAAAAAGAAGTTGTGTTTTCACATGTTGTATGAAGAGAAACATCAACAAACAAACCAAAAAGAGTATAAATTATTTATTGGGGGGGGGGGACATGAGTATGAGGAAACTCATGTTTTTGTCTGACTCTCTGATCAAACTAAGTATACCGAGTTTTTCCTGCTATGGTCTCTTTATATTTTTGCGGTTCATAGATTCGTCTTAGGTTTGGGTTTGTAGGCGATACGTCTGGTCACACTGCGCATTGTCACAAATTCCTCTGCAGAAGATGGATGTATCCCAACCTGTGTGTTTGTTTCACAGTGTTCATTTGATTATTAGTTAGAGAATTGTTTGGACTTCTTTTTTCCTAAAAATGTTTTCCACGAAGATTTTACTTACCGTGCTGTCAAATTGGGCTTTAGTTGCTCCACACTTAAGAGCAATTGCAATCCCCTGAATTGAGCAACACACGATAGATATAAAGCATAAGCAACCAAATAATCAAACTCAAATCGATTACGAACTTTAAAAATGATCTTCGTAAGACTCAGTAAGCTCAAATCATGTTCTTTTCTACCCTGAATCTCCTAGGTGGGTTAGAAGAAAATTTCCTAGCTCTCAGAAGCTTAAACACGTTGTAATCTCAAATTTACCTAAATCATTTTAGCGACTACCCCATATATGATTTTTGACCGTTACAAACTCACAAGTTTACATTATAAGGTGGGAATACACTCATGCACCACTCACCGTGAAAGCATAGAATGAAAGTAGAAGATATTATTTAGGAAAACTTACCTGCATGATCTCAGCTGCATCAGGACCGCACATGGATGCTCCAATAACCTTATCAGTCTTCTCATCAACTATTAGTTTCATCAATGTCTTCTCCTGCCGTCTATCACCAAATTAAAAATGTGATTAGATCAATGAGAAGGATAGAGTCTTCAAAGAGAGATCAGGTGCAAGCATGTTGAAGAATCACGAAAAGATTCTACAAAATGAAATCAAGAACTGTGTGGGCCGATATAAGGACTTTAAGAAAATTTAGAACTTTCGATGCTTTCATACCCAGAAATGGTGTTCTTCATGGGATTA